ATCAGATCTAATAGCGTACCGACTCCGGGATTCCGGGGCGGGGTGTTACAAATGGTATCAGAGCTAAACCAACCGGAATTGTGAGAGCTAAGTGCTATGCGGCGCAAAGTGTTACGTCGAGAGGGCGGAAGCCACCTCTTGAGGCCGTAGGAGTCACCTCTAGAATCTCACACGAATGGTACGGTCTTGGATGATATGATTTGGCACAACGAGGACGTTGTGAGTTTAAGTGGGGGAGTTTGTAATACCCCAACCCTTGAGAGGGTGATGTGATTAGTATTGATAGATTTATTTAGAATACTTATACCACCAAGATGCGTCTTTTTTTCGGGAGCCCAACTCTTAGAAACTCCAAAGTTAAGCGTGCTTGGCCTGAAGAAATTCTAGGATGGGTGACCCTCTGGGAAGTTTTCTAGGGAGCGTGTGAGTGAGGATAAAACGTGTTGAAAAGACATATGGTGGTTTGTGAGGCCAATCCATCAGATCTAATAGCGTACCGACTCCGGGATTCCGGGGCGGGGCGTTACATAAAGATTAGAGGAGTTTTTATGAGACACGCTATAGTTCAGAGGTGTTTTCTAAAATTGCACCAAAATTGAGAGGGGTTATTTATAAAGCCTCTCATAATAAGAGGATTTTGTCAAATTGAATCAGTTAAGTGGGGTTTTTAAAACAATCCCCATGGAGAGGGTTTTAAAAAAAATAATTTTTCTTTTAAATATGGCTTATTTATAATCTTTCCCTCAAAATTTTAATAATTCAATATTAGTCCCTAAAATTATGAGGAATTTCAAAAATTTTAGGGAACAACATAGAATTATTGAATGTTTAAAATAAAAGAGCTAATAACTAAATAACCTTTACATATTTTCTCTTATAGACATGGCATTAAATATTGATTGATATATTGCTATATCGGCCAATATATCGGGTTAAAGACTTTATCTCGATAATATTTTATATTGTTTTCTTTTATTTGGTGAATTTTTTGATACATCGACCGTTACCGAATATATGGCTGATACATCCCTTTGAAGATATCAAGAAAACCGTGTCATTTTTAATTTGATTGTTGGCTCGGGTTTGGATCGTGTTTGGAAAACAAAATCGAAACCCACAAAACGCACAAAGGCCACAATTCTTCTCCCTAATTTCTCCACTCTCGACTCTCACAAATCTTAAGCTTACATCTTATGCTTATTCTAATGTTTAAAATTCATTAATATGTATAATCTTTCCCTCAAAATTTTAATAATTCAATATTAGTCCCTAAAATTATGAGGAATTTCAAAAATTTTAGGGAACAACATAGAATTATTGAATGTTTAAAATAAAAGAGCTAATATCTAAATAACATTTACATATTTTCTCTTATAGGCATGGTATTAAATATTGATCGATATATTGTTATATTGACCAATATATCAGGTTAAAGACTTTATCTTGATAATATTTTATATTGTTTTCTTTTATTTGATGAATTTTTTTGATACATCGACTGTTACCGAATATATGGTCGATATATCCCTTTGAAGATATCAAGAAAACCGTGTTATTTTTAATTTGGTTGTTGGCTCGGGTTTGGATCGTGTTTGGAAAACAAAATCGGAACCCACAAAACCCATAAAGACCACAATTCTTCTCCCTAATTTCTCCACTCTCGACTCTCACAAATCTTAAGCTTATATCTTATGCTTGTACTTATGTTTAAAATTCATTAATATGTTAGATTTCATATTACAATGTCATGTTTTGTATGAATATTATCTCATTTGACACCCAATATTATATACATATCCATGGTTTCAACAATTCGATATCATGGATTTTATTTGTTCAATATTTATCTGATGTCCGACTCTTTGTAGCAGCCATTTAAAGGCCACTTCTAAAGTTTAAATATATAATTTTAGGAAATAATTCAAAATCTTGAGGCCCATTCAAAATATGGTGCTTTAAGTTTCCACATCTCCTCTATTATATAATTATAAACTAAGCATCTGGCCTCGTGTTGTATGACGAATATTATTTATCAATGGGATCATATACTATTGTTTGTGGATCACAAAGGTTTTAAATCTTTTATATGCTTAACTGAACTTAAGTACCTTATAGTTTACAAAAATTATACTTATATATCTCCACTTTTATCTTGCTGCACTTTTTTATTTTATTTTAGATAGCGTATATTGTTGCATTTAAATATCCTAATGTTTTCTGGAATTTTATGTTTGTATCTTCTGTCCTCTTACCTAAAGATAAGAATGTTCTTTGTAAGTTTCCTATATGAGCATCATGGTATAATTTTAGGATAATTTTATATTTTTTACTCTTTCCATAATACTTTATTAACATGCAATTATCTACTAATATATTATTATATATTACTAATAATTAATATGATGTAGAGTTTTACAATAACGTTGGAAGTTTTAGGGACCAAATTATACAAACTTAAAGTGACATTGTTAATTACTTTAGTTTAGTTAGTATTAGAATATAATATCAAAAAAGAGTAGAGGTAATATAGTCAATGGAAAGTTTTTCCACAACTCCCTCTTTTAAAGGGAGTATGATTTAACTAATGGGTTAGTTTGGGTGGGTCATTTAGTGGGTGGGTATGTGTGGGTAAATTGGTTTGGGTCAATTTTGCCATCCCCATCCTAACGAAAGTCCATGTACAACTAAACAAAATTTAGTTGCGCTTTATTCTCCATGCAAATCTACATCTACATCTACATCAACACTACTATAAAAGAGTATTGTTATGTTAAAACTTTTGATTTCCTTTTTGTACCCTATCAATTTTAATAGTTCACAATAACTATAAGTATTAAAGTTTGTGTGGTTCTAATGATTATTAGGTTCCCTTGAAATTATATTTTTGGTTAATCACTAATTATCATGTTAGTTATCTTGTGAGGACTTTTGGGTTCTCACGAATTTGTATTTTAGGTTAAACACTTATTCTAAATTTTGTTTTACATAACTACTATCCAGCTCGAAATATTGCTATGCATATGCAATAATATGATGTCTATAGTATTATAAAATAGGATTGCTTTGTCAAAGATTTTGATTTTCTTTTATACCCTCTCAATTTTAATAACTATAAGTATTAAAGTTTGTGTGGTTCTAATGACTATTAGGTTCCCTTAAAATTATGTTTTTAGTTAAGCACTATCATGTTAGTTATCTTGTGGGGACTTTTGGGTTCCGGTGAAATTGTATTTTTGGTTAAGTAGTTATTCTTAATTTTATTTTACATAACTACTTTCCGGCTCGAAAATATAGTTATGCATATGCAATAATATGATAAAGGATAATGTTTTATAGCAACTAACCAATATTATATCATGCAAAGGCCTCTTTGTGCATGTAAAAAGACACAATTTTCGTCTTATCTAAGTTAAATATGAGAAATATTTGACCTATAATTTCTTCATGTTCTTTATTTAGAAGAATGGAGAACTTGTAGTTATACCATAGAACTGTGCTTAATGCTGTACAAATTTTGTGCAGTGTGCTAATATAATAGCTAACTATTTTGATTTGGACTCTCATGAAAGGAGAGAATGAGCACTAAAGAGTAACTTCTAGAAAAAATATAGGAGGATGGATAATCAAATAATTTGAAGAGATGAAGAGTCAATAGCAAAGTTTAATTACAAGATATTGAGAGTTAAATAAAAATGATGTGTGCTCAATTTACAATATAAGAAATTAGATAACGTTAAAATATCCTTAAATTTATAATCTAAAGCGAACCACTACGTAAAAACTACCGAGTCTGGATCATAAGGATACTTTTTGGTAGTCATTTTCTTCATAAGAAACTTATTTGGATACTATATTAGAATGGATCCTTAAAGTTTTTGCTGTTTTGAGATAACCAGCTAAAACTTATTTTTTAAATTATAAATCTAACATTAAAAACTAATTTAATAACATATGTTAATCTATAATTGTATCATGCATCACGTGCAATGCACGTATGACATATTAGTTCTCTTTAAATATCCATTGCAGATCAAACAGACATTTTGAGTATGAGTTTTCCAAAATCCACTACACTAAAACATTGTGGGGTCCATGACGACTCATTAATTTTAATAACAATTTAAGTGGAAGGACCCACCCTACACGTTTGTGTTTAGTAGAGTAGAAGTAGTTTCGTGAATGTAGTTTAGAAATAATTATCCTTCATTAAGGGGCTATTTGGTTGAATGAAAATAAAGTCCACATATAAATAGAGCAAACAGATTTATAAGCACATTATTCGGTTGACAACTCTATAATTAAGAAGGGTAAACAGAACTGTATTTTGTGGGAAAAACTTGTAGCAAATGTTATAACCAATTTTATGGGCGGAAAATAGGAGGAAAAACTGCTGCACGCTTCGAAAAGGAGAATTTAAAAAAAAAAGAAAAAGTAAGAACTTGCATTTATGCTTCCTGCGATGTGATCTGCATCTATGCAAACCCATCTAGGCCCTCGGACATATTGCTTGGACTTGGTCCGTTACGCTAGATTTTAGAAACCCAAAATTGAAACATATTATATTATTATCCCATTTCCTAATCCAGCTAGGGTTTATTAAAGCCAAAGAAGATGGAAACAAATTAAAACCCAATCAAACTCGGAATCATCAAGACACTAACTGAAATAGGAAACTTGATGAATTCCTAGTCCTATTCGAACTCTGACAGAGTACTGGTCCTATTTAAAGGAAAGCAGAACACGCTAAGAGCAAGGGCAGCAAGCTCTGAAGGAGGCTCTCAAGGCTGACGTGGCCGTGGAAGTTGGCAGCCCCCCTCCAACAAGCTCCTAACCCCTCCCAAACCCCTCTCCTAAGGCTGACGTGGCCTTGGGGAGCTTCCGAGCTCCCAAGCGCTCCACAAATTTGTGGAGCGCTTGGGAGCTCGGAAGCTCCCCAAGGCCACGTCAGCCTTAGGAGAGGGGCTTGGGAGGGGTTCAGAGCCGCTCCGGAGCCCGATTGGATGAAGCTCAATTTTGATGGAGCCGTATCGAAAGGGGTAGCGGGGTGCGGGTACGCTCTCAGGGACTCTGAGGGGGCGATCCTCGCTGCCGGGTGCTGCGGCGCACCTGACCTCAATGTGTTGGACGCAGAGCTCAGAGGGCTGTGGAGCGGTCTTAAGCTGGCGGCGAAGGTCTGCAAGAGAGGACAGAAGTTATGGATTGAGGGTGATTCACTGGTAATTATAGATTATTTGAAGGAGTTTTTCGTAGATTACCCGAACAACCAACCGGTAGTTCAAGACATTATTCGGTTACTCGACCATTTCTCCGAGATTCAAGCTTCGCATATTTATCGAGAGGGTAATGCTGTTGCAGACTGGCTGGCTGGAAAAGGAAAATATACACGGGTTGAGGTGGTTTGGACGAGCGATTTTCCAGATAAATTAGAAGCATTGGCTCAAAAAGATTTGCGTGAGTATCATGAGAGACGGAGGAAATGAGAGGATTGTATGTTGTATTTAATCATTGATGTAAATCTTTGTCATTTTTTATATGAAATTGATTCTCAATTTTTTTTGTGTGTGTACGGTTATGAACTATATTGATTTTAGTTATACATATCTGTGGTTACGAACATTTTACAAATAGAAAGACGAGAGAGGGGTGGTTGGCCTTTGTGAGGTAGCATAGGTAAAGAAATTCGTGGAATAGCATGCTTGATGAGCTTGCAGGCTAAAGAAATTGGTAGAGTGGCATGTTGGGTGCAACTTGAGAGCAGTTGGTCTTTAGTGAATTAGCATGAGTAAAATTCACAGGTTAAAGAAATTAAAATAGGGAATAATCTTTTAACAGGTATCCGTTTGTATGCTTTCTCATCATCCGAGCTTTTTACATCAAACAGGGGCGGATGCAAAAGCATATTAATATGTGTGTGGTTGTGTGAACGCAGACGGATGAAATCGTGGTTATCGTTTCTGAACTTGTTTTGTTTACCGACAGTCTAATGAATGATTAAAGAAGAAAGCAGATAGCTTTCATTACAAAGTTGGACATAATTGGGATTTTTCAGATATTGGTCCCTCATATATGTCTTTCATATTTTGAAATTAGCCCCTAAAATTTTAATTGCTATGTAATCCCTAAAATTCTATGACTTAATTCAACTTTTTTTGGTTAGTCTCTCCATCTAATTTTCTTAATCCTAGTGATTAATCCTTGGCAAAATAATTACCTTTTATACCTTCTACAGAACAACACAGATTACAGACTCGTGGACGGGCTACATTCAAGCTTAAAGATGGACCTATGGATGGGTTAGAGGGGATTTTAAAGGATTCAAAGGAAAGAAAGCAATTGTAGATGGATTTGAGGAAGACGATACAAATTTCGGGTTCGTGTCAGGTTTGAGTTTGGGTTTTGGAATCACATATTGGTAATATAAGGATATAACTAAAGGATTGAGGAGGAAAGAGGTCAGGTTGTGGTGTTGTGCTAAGGTGTTGGGAAACTAAAACCAAAAAGACAGAAATGATATATGCAAATAAAAAATGGACAACTAACTACAATCTACACATCAAACTTTGTAAATTCAAAAAACTACTTTAGAGGATACTAAAATCACCAGGGTTGCTTTTCACCAAGTTGTTTTTGCTTGTACCCTCTGTATCTCTTTGCAATCGATCGGGGATTTATGTTATAGTTATTTCCCCTACAAGCTACCAAAAATTAACATCATGAAAGAAGATGTTTCAAGAATTCTAGTGAAATTTTTACAACAAATAGCACTCTTGTTCTAAGGTAATGATACATGATCATGGATTAATAAGTGAAAGCTCCCGATATATGCTCAATTTGGATCTCATAAAACTTCTTTCTTTTCAAACATTGCCAGGCAGCTCTGGAACAAAAACTGAACGGAGCATTTATTTATATCCAACATGTTTCATGAAGGTTTGGCATAGGTTGTGTAGGCGGTAGTACAACCTTCAGAATGAGAAAGCTCATTCATTACCATTTATTAACATCTGCCTTTAACTCAGAAATATGCGTTGGAAGACCAAAGTTTCCCTATTGAATCGGCATCAGTCCATGTTAAGCTAATAAGCACCTTGGTAAAACTTTGCTGGAGCACAGAGGCATTAGAAATAATGTTTTATCTGAATCATTTACAGTCATAAGAGCTGCCTGTTGGGGATTCAAAACAATCAAATCAAATCTGTACCCTTTCGGATCTTGTGTTTGAGAGTTGAGCAAGAAAGAAATTCACCACAAATCAAAGATAAAAACTTATAGGAAAGTAAACAAGAAAAAACACACCAGATTTAAAGAGGTTCGACAACGTGCCTACGTCCTCGGGAGCCACACCACACAATTCTTTGATTACTTGAAGAAGATTACAATGCTCGCAATTGGTCTCTCTCTCTAAGATTTCTAACCTCAAAGAGCCCTCAAAACCCTCTTTTTTTCGTGCATTTTTTTCTCTCTTAAACCCTAAAGGGACGTGTTTCTATTTATAACAAAACACAATCCCAAATAGATTAGAATTCTAAAACGAGTCTGTCACACCCTGGTGTGGCGCAGACTATACCCATGGCAGACAGGGCAAACTCTGCCACACTCAGGTATGGCGCAGACCACACCCATGGTAGACAGGGCATATTCTGCCACACCCTGGTGTGGCGCAGACCACACCCATGACCTGTTTTGAATTTTTATGCAATTGTTGATTTTGATTCTAGATTTGGGTCTCCACTCTCAAGACCAACAATCTCCCACTTGGAGATCAAACCACCATCAATGAGCTCTCCGAACTCTGCCTTCTTCGCAAGCATCTTCTCCTACTTGAAAAATCCATTCTTCAATCATCAACATCTCGGCGATCTCGCCGATCCTCGTAGTGTGGTTCTGCCTTCGTCTTCTACTCGTGAAGGACAACTGAAGTTGCGCACAACTCTAGTTTCTCAATGGTGACTGCCTTCGTCAACATGTCTGCCGGATTTTGACTCCCCAAAATTTTTATCAAATGCAACTTTCCGTCTTCAACTAGCGAGCGTATAAAATAATATTTAACATCGATTTGCTTCGTTCTGGTATGATATACTGGATTCTTGACAAGATGTATAGCACTCTGGCTATCACAATAAAGAACTCCTCTCTCTTGCGTCAGATCCAACTCTTCCAAGCACCCGTTCAACCAGATCATCTCCTTACTTGCTTCAGTCACCATGACATACTCAACCTCGGTTGTAGACAAAGTCACAATCTTCTGCAGACGTGAGACCCAGCTCACTGCTGTCGACGCAAACGTATAAACATACCCCGTGGTGCTTCATCTCATATCATGATCACCAGCGAAGTCCGCATCCACGTATCCCTGCAGCACCAACTCCTTCCTCCTGAAACGTAATGGCTTGTTCGTTGTCCCTCTCAAGTACCGCATCATCCACTTCACGGCTTCCCAATGCTGCTTCCCTGGATTGCTTGCGAATCTGCTCATAACTCCCACTGCATGGGCGATGTCCGGTCTTGTGCAAACCATCGCGTACATGAGACTCCCAATGGCCGAAGAATATAGCACCCTGCTCATATGCTCTATATCTATATCTGTCTTAGGTGATTGCTCATCAGATAGCTTGAACTAACTTCTAAGGGGTGTGCAAACAACTTTAGCATTATGCATGTTGAACCTCTGAAGTACCTTCTCAATGTATTCAGCTTGGCTCAATCTCAATGTCCCTTCAACTTCATCCCTACTGATTCGCATCCCTAGAATCTGCTTCGCTGCATCCAGATCCTTCATTGTAAACTCCTTTGCTAGCTGCTTCTTCAAACTATTTATCTCCTCTAAACATGGTCCTGCTATCAACATGTCATCAACATATAATAACAAAATAATGAAGCTGGACTCGAACCTTTTGAAATAACAATAATGATCCGAATTGCATCTTTAGTAGTCATTGTTCTGCATGAAGTTATCAAACTTATTATACCACTGTCTCGGAGCCTGTCTTCCTTTCCTTCTTCAATGAAACCAACAGGCTGCTTCATGTAGATTTCTTCATCCAAGTCACCATAAAAAAAGGCAGTCTTCACATCTAACTGCTTAAGAAAGAGGTCTTCTGCAGCCACCAAACTCAATACCACTCTGATGGTTGTGAGTTTCACAATAGGGGAAAATATCTCCGTGTAGTCCACTCCTTCCCGCTGTTAAAACCCCTTTACTACTAATCTGGCCTTGAATCTCTTGCTTCCATCACTCTCTTGTTTGACCCGGTAGACCCATTTGTTATGTAAGGCCTTCTTCTGAGCAGGTAGCTGGGCTAACTCTCATGTCTTATTAGTGAGTAGAGAATCCATCTCTTCCTGCATCGCATGCTCCCACTGCTGAGATTCACTCAATTTATCGCCTTGTTCCGAAAGCGTTTAACAAAGTCGGTGACTATTTCTTCGTCTTTTTGCTTCTCATCGAAGAGTGTCCTGATGGACACCACTACTTTGGCTATCCTTGGTATTTTCCCTATTCTTGTACATCACATCCTCATTAAATATCACGTCCCTGCTTCTGATGATCTTCCTGTTTTTCTCATCCCAAAGGTGATACTCGAACTCATCAATGTCGTATCTAATGAATGTGCACTTCTGTGACTTAGCCTCTAGCTTGTCTCTGATGTGGTCACTGATATGAACATAAGCCACACAACCAAATACCCGTAAGTGTGAGAGATTTATCTTCTTTCCACTCCAAACCTCCTCTGGAATCCCAAAATCCAATGGAACTGATGGTCCGTGATTAATAAGGTAAGCTGCTGTATGCATCGCATCCGCCCAAAATGTCTTAGGCAGACCTGCATGTAATCGCATGCTCCTGACACACTCTGTCAAGGTCCTGTTCATCCTCTCCGTAATGTCATTCTGCTGTGGTGTCCCTGGAGTAGTCCTCTCTAACCGAATACCATTCGTAGCACAGAACCTCTTGGACTCCTCCAGCTCGTATTCTCCACCATTGTCTGATCTCAGACATTTCACCTTTAGATCTGTCTCGTTCTCCACCATGACCTTCCACTTCTTGAAGATTCCAAACATCTCTGACTTGTGCTTCATGAAGTAGATCCACACCTTCCTCGAGTGATCATCGATGAAGGTAATATAATATCTTAAACCGCTAAAAGAAGACACACTGGCTGGACCCCATACATCTGTATGAATCAACTCTAGTTTTTGAGCCTTATGTGGCCTTCCACCCTTCTGAAAACTAACCCTCTTCTGCTTTCCAAAGATGCAGTCTTCATAAACCCTGACTTTCACGGTGTCGATCTCGGTTAGCTTTTCTTGTGAATGCAAAAATCTTTATCCCCTTTTCGCTCATGTGCCCTAGCCTGTTGTGCCACAGATCTGTACTCTCTTTGCCAGCTGCAATTGCAAGGGTGTCACTCGCATGTAAGGTGAGGTAGAGAGTTCCTAACTTGTTACCTCGAGCAACTATCATCGTACCGTTGGAGAT